TCGAGTTGGTAAGAATAAAAAATTCTCTTCATTTTTTTATTCTTTTTGATGATCTGCGATCATAGGACGGTCCCTTGACCATTCCGTATAAATGGTTTATTCTATTTGTACAGATATGGTGGAGGGGCGGCAGGCAAATTCAATCTCTGTTTTCCATTAATTGTCAATTGTTCTTCTTATGGCATGGCGGAGTGGAGCAACTTGGTAGCTCGCAAGGCTCATAACCTTGAGGTTACGGGTTCAAATCCTGTCTCCGCACCATTTTGGATAAAAATGGAAATTCACTTATATATATATTTGATAATATAAAGAAATATACTATTCAATACAGAAGTAACGGCGGATAGCGGGAATTGAACCCGCGTCTTCTCCTTGGCAAAGAGAAATTATACCATTCAACTATATCCGCATTTTTTTATTCTAATTGATACTTTCTATATCAATTCGATTTGTGCAGAGATGTATTTGATATCTATTAGGAGTGATCAATAAAAAAGTCGAAATCTATAGATATATATCTATCTTATCTTTAATCAATTTCTCTATGTATGTATTAGATAAAGGATACATACATAGAGAAATTGATTTATCCAAAAGATTTGACTTCAATTGAAATTGGGTTAGTGATGAAGTCGGAGGGTTTCCTCGAAGCATCCATGGCTGAGTGGTTAAAGCACCCAACTCATAATTGGCGAAGTCGTGGGTTCAATTCCTACTGGATGCATCCCCATAGAAATATCCCCCACTCGATTTTTGTTACAGAATGAAATTTGTAAATACAGCTACATGATTATCTGAATTATATTGACTATATTCATTCTTTATCTTCTTTTCAAAAAAAAAAACGATTGGATCCGTATCAATATCAATGGAATCTCATCATCCATCAATAACAAAGATGTGGTCGATTCAATCCAATTATGTTAGAATAGTTATAATAACATTTGATCTGTATCAATGGACGATGGACTCCCAAGAAACGGTAGAAGAATGCGACCTATTATGGGACATACAATGCATTACAAACGTATGATCATTATGCTTGAACCGGCTTATTCGATTCCTTAGAATCGGGTTATTCTATTCCACCTCTTAGTTAGAAAGAAAAGAACTTAAACAATTAATAACATGGCGATACATAAAACTTCGAGCCCGAGCACACGCAATGGAGCCTTAAACAGTCAAGTGAAATCCAATTCACGAAATCGTTTGATTTCTGGACAACATCATTGTTGTAAAGGGCGTAATGCCAGAGGAATTATTACCGCAGGGCATAGAGGGGGAGGTCATAAGCGTCTATACCGTAAAATTGATTTTCGACGCAATGAAAAAGACATATATGGTAGAATCATAACTATAGAATATGACCCTAATCGAAATGCACACATTTGTCTCATACACTATGGGGATGGTGAGAAAAGATATATTTTACACCCCAGAGGGGCTATAATTGGAGATACCATTGTTTATGGTACAGAAGTTCCTATAAAAATGGGAAATGCCCTACCTTTGAGTGCGGTTTGAACTATTGATTTACGTAATTGGAAGTAACCAATTAGGTTTATGGCGAAACCTAGAAATCGATCTCTTATCCAATTGGAGTACCTCTACAGGATAGACTTCAACAGAAAACTGAAGAGTAACGGCAGCAAGTGATTGAGTTCAGTAGTTGCTAATATACCATTATTGACCCTAGAGATATAGTAATATGGAGAAGACAAAATTGTTTCAAGCACCGACAGAACACGAAGCGCTCCTCGTTTCAAACAAATAAGGAGAAGACCCGGATTATTCACATTTCATTTGATGGTCAAGGACAAATTGAAAGCGAAGCAGTGGTAATTCTAAGGATTCCCCCGGGAAAAAATAGAAATGTCTCCTACGTTACCCGTACTAGGTGTAAGTAGCAACGTAATTTCATAGAGTCATTCGGTCTGAATGCTACATGAAGAACATAAGCCAGATGAAGGAACGGAACAGAAAGACCTAGGATGTAGAAGATCATAACATGAGTCATTCGGAAGATTTGGATTCGTATAATATATATCCACTCATGTGGTATGGTACTTCGTTATGTCATTTATAATCTACGAAATAAACGATATATAAGATGCAGCTGTATAGATATTAGAATCTACATCCAGAAAGCCGTATGCTTTGGAAGAAGCTTGTACAGTTTGGGAAGGGGTTTTGATAAGAATCTACTTCAACCGATATGCCGTTAGGCACGGCCATACATAACATAGAAATAACACTTGGAAAGGGTGGACAATTAGCTAGAGCAGCGGGTGCTGTAGCGAAACTGATTGCAAAAGAAGGTAAATCAGCAACATTAAAATTACCTTCTGGCGAGGTCCGTTTGATATCCAAAAACTGCTCAGCAACAGTTGGACAAGTAGGGAATGTTGGGGTAAACCAGAAAAGTTTGGGCAGAGCCGGAGCTAAACATTGGCGAGGCAAGCGTCCTGTAGTAAGAGGGGTCGTTATGAACCCTGTAGACCATCCACATGGGGGTGGTGAAGGGAGGGCCCCAATTGGTAGAAAAAAACCCTCAACTCCTTGGGGTTATCCTGCACTTGGAAGAAGAACTAGAAAAACGAATCAATATAGTGATAATTTGATTCTTCGTCGCCGTAGTAAATAGTCGAGCGTAAGCGTAGATAAAATAGAATTTGTTTCTTCGTCTTTACAAAAGAAAATAGCAATTTACTGGGACATTATAGGATTTTCTTTTTTTAGAGATTCTATATTTTAGAATTGGAAATATAAGAGAACAAAATTAACTTTTTTAGTTATTATAGGAGGAATAATTAACTATGACACGTTCACGAACAAAAAATCCTTTTGTAGCCAATCATTTATTAAGAAAAATAAAGAAGCTTAACACAAAAGGAGAAAAGGAGTTAATAAAAACTTGGTCCAGAACATCTACCATTATACCTACAATGATTGGGCATACCATTGCTATCCATAATGGAAAAGAGCATTTACCTATTTATATAACAGATCGTATGGTAGGCCATAAATTAGGAGAATTTTCACCTACTCGAAAACTTGGGAGGGTATCCAAAAAATGAGAAAAAATATATTTCTCAATTTACCCTTGGACCTATATTTTTTTACTATATATTTAAAAATACAGGTCACAATCATCATTGAAGTGAATTTTCCCATTCATTTTAGGATACTTTTCGCAATCATCATTGATAAAAATGAACATTATGAGGATTCGGATTAATTAATAAATTACTCAATCTGTTGCAGAATAAAAAGAATTGTATTATTCTGCAACAGAAAAAGAAATAAAGATATAGAAAGTTTAATAAAAAAAAATATAATTATGGATAAACAAAAAGATACCGAGTGGTGGTTATGGGCCAAAAAATACATCCGCTTGTTTTCCGACTTGGTGCAACTCAAAGTCATTATTCTATTTGGTTTGCAAAACCAAAAATGTATTCCGAGAATGTAAAAGAAGATAAAATTATACGATATTGTATCAATAATTTTATACAAAAAACGGTACCCGAATCCTGTGAATTCGAGACCGATATCTCTGGCTATGGAATGGGACGAATAAAGATTCAAAAAAGAATCGATCTGATTAAAGTGATAATCTATATGGGACTTCCAGACTCCTTAAAAGAAAAGGTTAAGGATCTAAGAGTCGAACAATTAAAGACTCAAGTGCAAAAAAAAGTAACTTGTGGGAACCGAGAACTCGACCTTGAAATTACAAAACTTCCAAGTCCTTATCTTTATAGAGACGCTAAAATTGTTGCAGAATTTTTAAGCGAACTATTACGGAATCGAATTTCGTTTCGTAAAGCAATGCAAAAAGGTATTGAATTAGCTGAACAGGCAGATACAAAAGGAGTTCAAATAAAAATTGCGGGACGTATGGAAGGAAAAGAAATTGCACGTGTCGAATGGACGAGAGAAGGTAGGGTTCCTCTACAAACCATTCGAGCTCCAATGGATTTTTGTTCCGTTCCACTTGTAACTTTGTTTGGGGTATTCGGAGTCAAAATCTGGATATTTCAAAACTTCTAAACAACGACTAATCAACTTTCCCTTATAACGTTGCATCTTTTTTTAAAACAAAAAATGACAATTTGAAATACTTTACGTTGAAGAAATTACAAAATTTGGAAGATTGAATAAAAAAAAATTAATGAATCATTTTAGAATGAAGGAGTTGCTATGCTTAGTGTGTGACTCGTTGGTTTTTTTTGAGTGTTTCAATTTCTACAAAAATTCGTAGAATTCATTACTATAAAAAACCTACTCATCGCTTCCCATTATCTGGATAGAAAGAACTGCCGAAAATAGAAAATCAAAATAAGGATCTATGTGGTGATATAATTATAGCAACTGAAATAAAAAAATAAAATTATTAGTTGTAAAGCAATAAGAATATACAGATAAATGAAGGGGTGAAAGAAAGCTAGAAAAAGGATATTAATGATATAGAATTCTACTATGTAAAGGTCTATTGGTCATCTCATAAAAAGTAGTGTAATAAAGCATCAATATTCAAAATTCATCCATATATGGATGAATATTAGAATAAACGAATAAAGAGCCACGAATCAAGAAAACTGAGAGGGTTGATTCAACAAAAAAGAATAAAAAAAAAACAAAATCTTATTAATCTTATTAAAGCAGCTCCATTGTAGAATTTAGACCTAACCATAAATTGAAAAGCGATGGGAACGACGGAACCTGTGAATACAAAAGATTCCATGAAAATTAGAAATCTTACTGATTCATTAGATGGGATGGCGGAAGAAACTAAAAATTCATGGTTTTTTGAGGAGTTGTGGACGAACCCAACATTACATCTTCAATTTATAATCAGAGAGTCAATATTCGCCCGCGAAAATCCCGCGATTCTATTTCATTTTCTATTTTAGAAAAAAAATATGTATATTAGTGTATATTATTTTAATTATTATTCTTTTTTCGGTTCCAGATTTTTCAATCGATTTATTTGCGAGGAGCCGTATGAGGTGAAAATCTCATGTACGGTTCTGTAATAGAGATGGAATTGAGAAATAACCATCAACTATAACCCAAAAAGAACGAGATTCCGCAAACATCATAGAGGGAAATTAAAAGGAAACGCCTCTCGCGGTAATAAAATTTGCTTCGGAAAATATGCTCTTCAGGCACTTGAGCCCGCTTGGATCACATCTAGACAACTAGAAGCGGGTCGACGGGCAATGTCACGAAATGTTCGCCGGGGTGGACAAATATGGGTCTGCATATTTCCAGACAAACCAGTTACAGTAAGACCTACCGAAACGCGTATGGGTTCGGGAAAAGGATCGCCTGAATATTGGGTAGCTGTTGTTAAACCCGGAAAAATACTTTATGAAATGGGAGGGGTCCCAGAAAATATCGCTAGAAAGGCGATTTCAATAGCGGCATCCAAAATGCCTATACGAACTCAATTCATTTTTTCCAAATAATCATTAGAACGAATGTTAGTATGAAAAAAGGAAATTCTCCGTTTCTTTTTTTTTTGAACACACAATATTTTTTTTATTTCAACTTTTTGACTGAAAGATAAGAAAAAAGGATATGATTCAACCTCAAACCTATTTAAATGTAGCCGATAATAGCGGAGCGCGCGAATTGATGTGTATTAGAATCATAGGAGCTAGTAATCGACGGTATGCTTATATGGGTGACATTATTGTCGCTGTAATCAAAAAAGCAGTGCCAAATTCATCGTTAGAAAGATCTCAAGTCATCAGAGCTGTAATTGTACGTACCTCTAAAGAACTAAAACGTCATAATGGTATAATAATAAAATATGATGATAATGCAGCCGTTCTCATTGATAAACAGGGAAATCCAAAAGGAACTCGAATTTTTTCCGCAATAGCCCGAGAATTGAGACAGTTAAATTTTACTAAAATAATTTCACTCGCACCCGAGGTGCTATAATCTGATATAATACGTTATACTTGATATTTGATGGAGTATCCCCATGAATCGGTAGTAGGATTTATATATATATTATATAAATATAAAGGGGATCCATACATAAATATCCATGAACAGGATCTATGGTCCATATACACACATAGACCTAAGGATACATACATCAAGGGTTATTGGAGATTCCATGTACTAATTCATGATTTAACATGTACAGAATAAAAGCCTTTCATTTGCTTATTTTCGAGAAAAATATTAAAATAAAAATGAAATATATACTCTCTTCAACCGGGTTATTCTACCTCTTATAAATAAATAAAAAAAAACAGCTTCGTTATCTTAGAAAGAAAACCCTATTATCTTCCACCTAATAGCATAAAAAAACATAATTACAGGAGGCTATCATGAACAAAGATATGATCGGAAATATGTTCACATTGTTACGCAATGCGGACATGAATAGAAAAAGAATTATTCCAATACCGTTCACTAAGATGAACGAAAACATTGTTCAAATTCTTTTACGACAGGGTTTTCTTGAAAACGTCAGAAAACATCGAGAAAGCAACAAAAAGTTTTTAGTTTTAACTCTAAAGTATAGAAGAAATAATAAAGGATCATATCCTTTTAAAAGTTGTTTAAATTTTAAACAGATTAGTACGCCCGGTCTACGAATATATTCTAACTATCCCAAAATCCCAAAAGTTTTGGGAGGAATAGGGATTGTAATTCTTTCTACTTCTAGGGGTATAATCACCGATCGACAGGCTCGATTAGAAAAAATAGGAGGTGAGATAATATGCTTAATATGGTAAAATTACTTCTTCCGATTACGAAACACACAGACGATTTTATGAAAGTCATGAAAAAAGAATTTCAGGACGACGACTCCAAATTTATAGTTAGAGACCCAGTAGAACCCTCCGCAGAATTCTATTTTATCCGAATGTATTCGCAATATAATCGAAGAGAAACACGATTTTTATTGTATCGCTTTTATTTAGAAGCCCATATGAATATTTTGTTTGGTGCGCTTCTGGATCCCAATTGGGGCCCTTTGGATGTTGTTATTTTGGCTGGTCCTAGTGACGATGACGATCATGGTGGGTACTTCGCTTAATTTTATTGAATCTATCAATTTACCTAAAGCAACCTGCAACGTTGCAGGTTGCTTTAGGTAAATTGAATTTCAAGAGAAAAAAAAAACACCCAAGGATATTTCTCTATGATTACCTTACATTTGGTAACCTTCTATATTCCGATTTCGGAACACGCAGACGATTTTCTAGCAGAAATAGACAAAGACCTTAAGTATGAGGGCTTATTTATAAAGGTGAGCTCAGCAGCCACCTCAGATTCATATTTTGTTGTAGGATATATGCAATATGATCGAGAATTTGTACACAGTTTATTGTATCAACATTATTCTCGAAATGCCGGTCGGCAGATTTTGATTTTGGAAGAGATTGATGAAGATTTTGGCCCTATTGATTGATAGGGTTTCTATTCTTGGGGACGTCGATGACGACGACCACCCGACTCTTTTATAACTTGAAAATATTTTTTAGGAGGAACAATTTTAAGTTCAAAATGTAAGGAAACCCCATTTTCTTACAATATATAAATTTGGTATTCAATTGAATTTCTAAGGAGTTAAAAATATGAAAGTAGCGGCCTCTGTTCGTAAAATTTGTG